GCAAAGCGTGTGGAAAAAAAAGTTTTTTTGGGTCATCTTCAACCTTGAATGCACCACAATATGTTTTGTTCCAATCATATCTGATTGTGAGACTGAAGAAAAATGTACACATGTAGGATTTAAAGCTCTTTCCATTTAAAACCTGGCAGCTAATGCATCATACTTGCTGTCTCAACCCAAACTGCTCTGGGAGTGTTTGTTCGCTTTGTTGGCAGACAAGGCAGCTGCTTGGCCACTCACCTCAGCCCAGTAAATCAGAACCAGGCTAAAACAAAGAGGAAGAAAAATGCCCACCGAACATTTTCAGACCAGAGCAAGAGATTAATGAAGTCCCTCAGACGTTGAGCGGACACTTATAGTCAAATCAAGCAGAACTTCACTGAAGATCTGCGGACATGAGTAATGAGAAAATTATGTCCGAACACAATGAGAACCTTATTTGACAGCAGCACAGATTGAAAAATATAGTTTTTTGTGGTTGTAATAAAAAAGAGAGAGAGAGCAGCTTGTGGGAGTAAAAAACATAAACCTGGTTAAGGTTTGCATTAGAGTTTGGTAACTCAAACCACATTGGTAAAACATTAAAATAATGATATTTGTAAAAATAGAAACTACTGGTCACTACAACCTCCCCACAACCTAAAACTTAAGCCTCAAATTAGCCTGTTTTTGTGTGGGGTTTTTTTTAATTCAATTCTTAGAATTCGTCAACCTGACGCCTGCTAATTGTTGTGTTTTCCATTTAAAGCTAAATTGGAACTCAGTTTATTCTTTGGTGGTGGGAGTCCTGTTATTGAGTTATAGTAGTGCATTTACAGTTTCAGAGTGAGGCTGTAGAAGCTAAAGGTGACTAGTAAGTGTACTACTCAAAATAGAAAGTTGAGCCACCCTCTGTTGCAGTTTTCTGTAAAGGGGACCAAGTCTGCCTCATATTTTAAGCGACTTTTGAGAGACTATGACGTATGCCTTTATCTCAGTGTAAGTGTACACTGTCCGATGGACTTTTTCAGCACCTCTTCCTGTCGACATTGAGGCAAAAATTCCTGATTTCAATAGCAATGGCATGAAGTATAACATGACAAGTATTTCAAATATTACTTTTAAATATTTGGACAGGACAAAACTTTCAAAACTTGAAATTCAACTTCAATAGCTGACCTGGACTAAAAGCAAGAGGAGGTAAACAGCACAGAAACTACAGAAGGAGCTGAGTGAACAAGACTTCAACTGAATTAAAGCAATACACCCAGAAACTACATCATGTTATGGGCAAACATTACTTTTTGATAGCATCCTTAAAAGCATTTTTACTGTCAACAGAAAAATCTACTACACAAAAAAATTCTTTCCACAGAAAAAAAGTATACAAAAATGATCCAAACAGTGAATTTACTGAAAGAGTTGAAGTGCAGATTGGCGGCTCTCATGTCTGCATGTTTTCAGCAAATGTCTGCATTGAATAAAACTATTGCTGTCTTTGATAATGCCAGTCATTTTTATGGAGATGCTCTAAAATCACTTTCACAGAAATTCAATCTGACGGCACAGACACTTCTTATCACATCAAACAGAAGCAAACTTTCTGTGAATTGTGGTTTCATTTACTTCCTAATAATTCATGCTCATGTCATTTCTAATAAGATGTGATTTGGTGAATGACTTGACATACAAAAGGAAGAATGCATTTCATTCAGGTTGTGTTGATAAGACTGGATGTGTGGGTTGAAGATCCAGCCCAGCCCTGCAGAGTATTTAGACAGCACAGACTGTACACCCACATGTTCCCTGAAGCCAAAAGTCAAAATGCATAATGGTTTAAAAGCCTCAAAAGTAGGCTGCAACTACTAACCTGAGTGAATTAGTTGGGCTTAGCTGAGTATAAAAATATCGACTTAATGATTAGTTGAAGAGAATTAAATTGTTTGCATGGCTGTTTTCAAGTCTGCTTTGGCGAATATTCCACAACTATAACCATGACACTGCTTGAACCAGTGTTAAGATGCTGTAGATGTTCATTTATAGGCTGTGATGCTGTATAGATATTTTAAAGCTCCTGTGAGGAGTGTTCGAATGTTTATGGAAAAGACTGGAATTTATCATGCAATCCATGCATATCCATGATATGCAAAAGCCAACAAGACCATCAGTGACAAGACTGACATTTTTTGTACAGAAATCTTCAATGTCTGGAACCAGCGCAAGAGGGATGGTGGCAGGCAGCTAGGGAAACAGGAATGTTTTTAAATTTTTCTCATAAATTGTACATTTGACTATCAAAAGTCAGCAGGATGACATTTTTTGTAAGAAGACTTTAGAATGAGCAAAGATTGTTTTGTCCAGAGGGGGCGCCAAAATTAAAAAAGTACCTCACAAAAGCCTTGATAAGAATATAAGAATGATTTTTTCTTCTATTTATGCAGCATGTAAGCTCTTTTATTTCTTATACCTCAGACTTATAACACATAATGTTCAAAAACTGGATACACCCTTTATGCTCTGCAACACAAAACCACAATTAATTCAGGTTTTAATGTTGCTCACCGGCCAGGTAGCTGTGTTGGCCTATTTCACTATACCTCTGACTTTTATTACAGGGTTCAATGTAAACTTGGCCTCTAATGGATGGTGTTTTCTTTCTTTCCTGTCCCTTTCTGCAGAGCAGGAACCTGTCACTATGGAGACAAAGAAGACCTGCCGGTCTCTGAATGGCCACATTTATACCAAAACACCACTTACTTGAGTGAGTGTTTCCGTCGCCTGAGCACCTTTTTTATTGACCTGGAGCCATGTGAGGCCGTAGGGTGTTGAGGAGGAATAGTGAACGCCAAAGTTTCCTTACTTAAAGATCTTTATGAATGTCATTATTATAGCAATAAATTATGGCGGTTTCTTTGGGTATTTCAAAATGTGATGTAGATCGAAGACTTTCATACCTAATGTTTGGCATTTAGCTGTAATCAGACTGTTACAAGTATCTCCTTATATGTGTGACTTCAGTTTATCATTTATTGAGGAATAGTTGGTCGGATGATATCCACATATATCTCATAAATCATATCAACTCAGTCTGTGGAAAGGTGTCCGGCACATTTCACTTCTGTCTGTTGACTCAGTGGCAAAGACGTTATTTAAAGGCACAGTTTGGTTCACCCACAAGCTCTGTTTAACTAAACATCATGGTAAAAAGCCACCAAAATGAAATGTTTCAGGGGTTTACCTGGATGCCAGTGCAAGTCTTGTTATCTGCTGCATAAACATTGCCAACCATGGAATCCGAGAGAGTCCTGTATGAAAGAACAAAATATATTTAAACAAATAAAATTATCTTAAAGTAAAAATGCATGTCTTCAGCTGGATGTCTGGAGAAAGGGGAATGCCTATTACCTCCTTCTTACTCCTTGTGTAGGGGTCTGGCTCATGGGATTTTATTACGCAAAACAACTTTCTCACTACACATGGTGTCTTACTTGTATCTCCTCCTATTTTGTGGCTTTTATTATTTAGTGTTTTAAGAAATCTAATGCTTACTTTTGCCATTTTCTGCTGGTACAAAGAAAGAAAACTTGCTTCTGTTTTTGAAAAACTGTGCTTTTCAATCAAAGCTATATTTGCAATGCCTCTTGTTGTAGCATGTTCAGCCACTCGTACTACTAAACCTTTCCTCTCGTCTACATATTCATCCTGTTTGCAGTCTCCATGTTGGTGCCCATTTTTCTGAAGGTCAAGCTCTGGATGATTAATAGTTGCTAATGGGAACAGCATGGCCTTGAAAACACTGATTCACCGGTTAAAGAAATCACAAGGCCACTAATGGCAGCGTTACTGGCTTTTATTTTGCAGTAAAGGTTTATCAGACTGGCAACATGGCACTCATCTCACCTCAAACATGAAAAATACCCACCAAAGCTGGTACTTAACCAGCCAAACTTGTGTGTGTGTGTGTGTGTGTGTTTGTGAGTGTGTGTGGTCCTATCTATACTCGAAGCAGAGGCTGTAAACAGTAAACAAAATCAGCCGATGGGATTCCTCCATTATCATATGAATACCTGTCAACACTCCGCCTCACTTTGATTGCCCCAAATAAGGTCATTTCCCACAGTGCCGCTGGCCTGAAGCCCAATTGTCAGGCTGTCACTGCCATCATTGGTGCCTCCACTCTGCATTTGTGTGTCACTGTTTGTGCTTGCATATGTGAGCAGTTTCTGCTTTGTCCATCAGGGCTGAGACACTGCAGTCAGAGACGAGAACGGCAGATCTCCTCCGCCTCATGGATGGGAAAATGCTTTAAGTCTGTGATGAGATTTGTGCATAAAATCCTGCTCTGACTACTCTAAAAGCTTCTGTTGGGAATGACAAGCTTATGTCAGACAAATACTGTCTTGGTTGAGGACTTTTAGGCAAATTTACTGTAAATGTATGAAGAAGAAAATAACTTCTGCAGCAATAACTTGGAAGGTTTACCAAAAATGACATGCTCAATTCATCATTTTTGGCATTTTTCTGTAAAGATAAAACTCAGCGAACAAGAATTTGTGCCAGGAACTCCAATAAATGTCATTCAAGCATCTAAGTAAAGTCCATCACATTCCCTTCACTAGTAATTTAAGCCACATCAAAGTTGCCCCTTCATCGGCTCTCAAAGCGAAACATCGTAGGAGCTCGTTATGGTGAAGTGAAGCTAGACGTTAAGCTGACCACAAACGGCACGCTGGGTCATTCTCGGTATATGAGGACATGGCGAAGATTTTTTCCCAGAGTTGGTGACTTTAGGGTTGCACAGCTGCCTTGTAACATTTCAGTAGCTTAAATCAAATACTACCATGAAGAAATGTTTTAAGGGGATTCCCACTGGTTTATATCCACTAGCAGCAGACATTTTGAAGTATTACAACACTCTATCGCTCAATAGCTACTTTCAAAATACCTCTGAGTCAAGGCGGTGGGGCTTCTTACATTCACCCTATTCAACTTCAAACAAAAGCCATTACAGTGTTTATAAACTGATATTACTTTAGAGTTTGAGTCCATGTATGCACAAAGTAAAACTTTAAATATTTCCCCTGCTTCTGTAAAAACTGTAACAATAATCTGCTTAATCTAGTTGTTAGTTTTCCCCAACTTAAACTCAAACTAAAGCTGTGTCTGGAACTACAGGATCATTCACTACCTCCATCTAAGGGGTTTCTTTGTGGAGGACTTCAATGAGAAAATTGGAAAAATAAAAAATCCACTTAAACACTCCTAGTCAAGTTTAATGTAGCTTCTAGATTTTAGTTTAAAAAAAAAAGAAAAAAGAAAAAAAAACATTAAATCACTTTTCTGTGTTTGTTTTAAACTCCAGTTAAAATTATTTTGATAAAAGACAGAACAGAAGCAACATTGGGTCCATTTATCCATTTCCTTTATACCACATCATATAATGATCTGTATTGCTTGGTATTGGACCATAGGTTGTACACTACTTCTCACTATACTATGCATTGTGGGATGGAACTAATCCAAAAAGAAGAGTATCATGTTCTCTCAGAATTTGTACCAAAATGGCAAATTCTGCTTTTTTGTCTATTTGTCATTTCCTTTGGTATACTGATTAGTTTGGTACATGTTGTTTGGTAAGTGGCCATAAGTTTTACACAACTTTTCACAGAGCATTGCAGGATGGAATTAACCTATCATAAAGTGTGTCATAAATCTCACTCTGAATTTGTACACTACTACAAAGTGGCAAATTTCCTCTTTAGTCCCATATAGTGGATTGTGAAAAGTCATAAGAGCAAACATGTTTCTGTCTGTATGAAATACCACTCTTTTTTGTTGTATTTACCTTTGAATTGCTGCCATTTTTTAACAAAGGGAAAGTCTCTTTCAACATACAGAAAAAAAAAGGAGATGTTGAACTCAACATCCCCTTAAGGAGACATTTCTTATTCGCACCCCACCCTTCATCAAACCCCATCTATCAAACCTGCCCAGACCTATAATTGCTTTGTTTTAACACCAGTAAAAAGCTTTGTCATTAAAACTCTCATAAATCTTTTCCCCAAGGATGTCACCACAAAAACGGATTTGAATTTAATTTTCAATGTTTTTTTCTTCTTCATCATCATTTTAAACAGACAAGAAAGGTGTTTTCTGTATAAAAATGGCTGTTGATGGTCCTGTTGAGCTGGAAAGTAAGATTTGAGTGAGAGGAAGAAAAGCAAAGGCCTATGAATGGATGGCAGAGATCCAGATATTTGATAGTGATGCAACATATACGATAGATGTAGAGGTGAAATGGAGCGGAAATATAGCTTCCAGCTCTGCTCAGAAAACTGTGTATACAGCATGTTCATGTTTGCATATTGAGTGATGAGGCTATGAGTCGCAGGTTCATCTTCCTACCGGGGCGTGTTTGCACAAGCACACAGATCTATATGCCTCTTGTTGAAACAGGGACTTATCAGAGATTATTCCTGTATTATAGTCTGGCTTCATAAACTGCCTCAAAATATAACTGAAGACAATACTAAGGACAATATTCCAGTCTATCTAAATACTAGACTAATTTCAGAAATTGTTTTACCCATCAGTCAAACACAAACACAAACACATGGGAAAATAGGTCCCAGGTTGACAAATAGAGTTAGAAAAATAACTTTTATGTGAATCTTTCGCCATGCCCTTCAAGAGTGAATGTGATTCATTTCTCACCTTGACATCCTCAAGCTTGTTTTTTTATACATTCATACCCTGGACTATCCTTGCCTTGAGTTTCATTCTTTATTATTACCTGAGAACAAAGCGGTTGGCCGTCTTCACTAAATCCATCTGTTGAAGTATTCAAATCCCTGAGAAAATACTGAGCTACAAAATACTTAAAACTCCTCGAATATCTTTTCCACGAAGGCCACCAGGTAACCAGAGGGTCACAGGTTAGATCCCCTCAATACCTCAAAATCTCCACAACAGCCACGTGTCACCGCCTGCTCACTCTATCATAAGTCGCCAGCTTTCCATCATCATCAACCGGGTATGATTTTTTCCATTATTGTAAAAACAGCCCGGTATGATCTCACTATTGTCTTGGACACCTGGCTTTATCCACATCATGCTGTAATCTTCCTGGCCTCTGACCTCTTTCCATCCCATCTGTGGACTCACTTTGAGCTTCAGGGATTACTTCGACCTCAGGCAACATAGCGTATGCTATGATTCTAGTTAGTATTACCCTTGAATAACAGCCTGAAAAAGCTGAGTGTTTATCTAACCTAAGACTTTTCCTGAGGCCAAGATGGTCTCTTTTGACACACTTCAGGCAACAGTGTGTGTGGTCTGCCCTTTGCCCTCTGCTGGGAAAGTCCATCAAGTTTAAAGAGGACACGGCAGACAGGATGAACTTGCTGTTCTGTTTTCCGATCCTGAAGAGAAAGTTGAGAACACAAAGGAAGTTAAGTGAGGTGGACAGTCTTGACCCAAAACCAAGTGCTCACCGAACAAAATAAAATATTCTTCGATTTGATCTGACCTGATTGTCTGTCCTGCAGCCACCACAAAACTTAGAAATCCACCTTCAGGAACAGCAGTTTTGGGCTAAATTCACTAACTGCTGACAGTGTGGAAATTTATCAGACGTATAGAGGCAAAACTGCGTCAGTAATTTCACAAGACAAAGTGTCATCAGAGGTTTCATCTATGTGTCACTAATTGCAGTCATAGTTCAATATCTGCCCCTATGACACAGGATGGCTTTGTCAAGGATATATGTTTGCTGATGGAAACATATGCAGAAGTGAAACTTGCGGCCTTCCTGAACCACCACGACACAGTCACCTCAAACGCCCCTGCACCTTCCAGTCAGAGTGATGAGATCAACTCTGGTTCATCTGAGTTTAAAAAACAGATCCCAACCTTACCTTTGCTCTGATTAGACCCAGCTTTGACCGTCCAATCCAATCCAGACATCTCCAAGTCCGAGTTAAAAACAACACCGCTTCTTTGTGATGAAAATATGCTATGGAATTTGTTTTGATTATCTTTGGGGCCGTTTTGACCTTAACTGATAGGACATCTTGCAAGACAGAAAATATTTGGGGGGGGAATGGCATGCATCAAGGGGCCTTGGGCCATTGTCGAACCTTGGACCACTACATCAAGGTCTTTGGCCTCTCCATATGGGATGCAGGCTGTAGCCACTGCTACCCTGATTTAAAATATTTTTGACAGCTTTCATGTATCCCTTAAGAATTACAGCTATCATGGTCAATTCTGCTCTAATAAATGCAACCACCCAATTCCAGGAAGTAAATGCCTTTCTTTGTTGGTATCATGACGTCTTTTTCTTGCCGTCTGTAACAAATGAATATCTCATAATCTACTCAATAGATTAGTTCAAAGTTCGGTACAACCACTCGTGGTTCTAAGAGGACTGATCCTTCGTATGTTGATGTTCCTATTTGTGGCCTCAACCCTTTTAGTCATGGCGGTCACTAAAGTGTACAGCTTCTCAGAAGGTATTTTATTCTCTAGCTTTAACCCTAGAACACTAAATTAGTAACACCGTCACGATCGCCAGGTGACTTTTACCCAAAATAATATACCCAAGAAAACGTACTTGTCATCCAAACCTACTTACCCTCTATCACTATTGCCGGGTGAAAATCTCCCAAACACGTGCCTGTGGGAAAAAGCAGGTTTTGGATCAGGGAAACAAATATACCTTCAAAGATGTCAAAGGCAATGCTGAAGCTACCCAGGGACCCATGAGACTCAGACAAAAGCAACATAATGAAAATCACGTCAACATGTTTGATCGGGTGAAAATCACCCGGGCAATAGTGTTCTAGGGTTTATGGTGTTCACATCGGCCACTCCACTGGATATTAGTAGGCTAAGCCATACACTGCCATCCACTGGCAGTGACAGTAAGGTAGAAGTCCCATGTTGGTAACCTCCTACAGTTCCCTCAATTCCAGAAGGAACTTCCACTTGAAAACATTTCGTAACGTTTCAATCAGTTTAAGAAGAACCTTACAAATGATAGATGTTTAGAGTTACCATGTTATGGTGATGTTAACAAATGCTACGATTAACTAGTTCTTGTATTTCAAGTTAATTGCTACTAACTAAGAATCCAATGAAACCTCTGCTAATCTTGGTTGCACTAAGCGTTTGGTTGCAGATGTTAGCATGCTAGGCTAATGTAGGTTGAGCTATAAATTCTACCCTTAAAAATCCTATATTATGGTTGCTGTGAACCTGTTAGCATACCTATATTAGCATTTAATTCATAGCACAGCTGTGCATAGAGTCATCCTGCCAATAAAGATTCTCGGACTTGTTATTGAACATTCTTGTCCAGCCTTCACCATATGTTATTGGACACAAAAATTTAAGTAAGCTGTAAATCCCAGGAAAATGCTAATAAGGTTTTTTTTTTTGTTTTTTGTTTTTTTTTTTTGGGGGGGGGGGGGGGTGTCCTGATAGGGTTGAAATAACACCCTGAGAACTAAAAACTGTGATCCTTTTACTTCACACACAGTCCCCCTAGCACCCCGGCCCCCAGCACTTTCTGTCTTTGGCCAATAGACCCCAAAGTCCATTAAGAGAACCCAAACAAACTTAATCAAGGTTTGGGGGTTAAAAAGAGAGGGAGGTTTACTGGGGGGAGGGGCAAATCTGAATAGATTTGACCAAAGTTTGTGTGTGTGTTTGTGCTTGTGTGTGGTACTTTTGTTTTTGTCATGGGGCAGTCAGTATGGAGGCTGAATGAGGATGAATGACCGAGAGAGTGTGAAAGAAGGAGAAAGGGAGTTTGTGTGCAGCGTTTTCGTATAAGCTCCACTCTGGGCCTATCATTACCAGATGTCACAGTGAGGGAGGCTGCCAGACAAATCACTGCTCATTGCCTCTCTGCCTTTTCTTTTTCTTCATTTCTCTCATTTCTCCAACTCCCTCTCTCCCTCTTTTTTCACTTCCTCTTCCATTTCCAGCTGTTTTTTGGTGCACGTAGCGAGAGCAGGGAAAGTTCTCCACCAATTGTTTCAGTCCTGAGAGGAGCTCGGCAGTAGGACCCCTCCCTCCTTCTATCTCTCTCCCCTTTCTCTTCTCCTCCCTCCCTCTCTCACTCTCTTTCTCCTCCCCTTGTTGTGACAGAGCACACCTGCTTGATCTTGGCTACACGCGCTCTGAGTCCAATTACTACATAGGCCCTTGCAGCCGCTCCACAGTCTCATCCCCCCCACTCGACTGGATTTTTGGGAGTCAAGCTCATCTTTGCCCACTTGAACCTTCAGCGCCTTCCTTCTACTGAGAACAGGTAGGTTCATACTTATGGTTTGTGGGTAGAAAATTAAGGGTAATAATGTGAAAGCCAGTTCAGGAATGTGAGCTTATTTAGACTGGAAAAGTTTGAGAGTGCCTTAGCTGTTGCTGAATTTTAGCAAAACTAAATGAACGATTTATCACTAAAAGTCATATTATTTGCAGATGTGATTTAACACATACAAGATAACTCCTCACTCTCTCATTTAGCACATACAGAGTTTGTTTTATTTTCATTATAACTGTATTCGAGCACGCTTTCACCACCTCTCCTTTGTACATTTTTATGTTATGAATATTCCGGATTCGTTGCCAGGTCTTTTCCCACAGCTCTCTTGGCTTTGTGATGAGAGACTTTAATCATTTCCAGGGAAAAGAGAGAGAGCTGCAGCCGGCGAAGGGGGTGTGGTACTGAAGTTGATGCTGGTACCTCACTCCCCTGCCAGAAAAACTAATTCTTCTGGGCCATCATTAATTTCCAAAGTATCCATGTGAGGTTTAGTTTATGATTTCAGCTTGCCTTTTCTTTATTTGTTACTCTCTGTGGTGATTCGCCAGATTTTGAGGACATTGCTTAATAGTTGTTTGGATATAACCCATTTGGAAGTGCATCTTTTGAGGCCAGTGTTTGCATATGTTTGTTAAGTTTTGGCAAAGTTAATGGTTACATGAGGAGACGAGCTGATTGAGATAGGCAGAATATTTAGATTCTTGGCTACAGTTGTTTGTTGCTTCAATTCACCAGTATTTGCTTGTGTCAGTGGAAAATAACATGATTAATCTGTTGCTGTTCTCTCTTTGTCAAACTTTCTTTCATTCTCATTTTTCTTTTTTTCATTCCCTCCGGCGTTTGGGCAGTCGACAAGCAAATGAAGGGGGGGAGAGGGTCAAAACAACAATCAAGATTTCTTTGTGTTGAGTCATTATTCCCTGTCAAGACTTTAATTTGGAAAAAGCTGTTTCTGCTGCTTCGTACACTTTCCATTTCAGCAGTTCATCTGAGACAGCAACCAGACCATTTTAACCCCAATTTCTTATCTGTCTGCTTTGTGGCCCTGCTTCTTCTCAAAGTGAGCCTCCTCTGCCCACCGTGGCATTCGCTGCTTGTGTTTTCACAGGAGCAGAACGGCACCCAAATTGCTAGGGGCAACTTAAAGTGAGAGGCTTTGAAGAGGAGATGAAAAAAAGCTGTACCTGGCAACGCACAGTGCCATTAATCCTGTAATGGTACAGCTTCCTCTATCAAAGAGAGGTCTGGAGCTTCCCGGCAAGCCAACACACAACTTGAGTTAACTCATTACATCCTTTTTGCCAGCAGGGAAAAACAGCTAATAGGGCTCAGCTGCAGTCAGCTGCATTTTAAGAAGTGAAGTGAAACTAAACAGAGACAAACAAAATAAGGGAAAAAGGGTAATGTGAGGCATAAACTGTGTACAGAAACATGTTCAGAGCAATAAAATCTGTACTAGTTCATATTTTAGAATCGAGCTGAGCAGATGTTTCACATTTAAACCAGGGATGAGCGCATGAATGTTTGGAGGGGACAAGGCCCAGATTTGCACTTAAAGGCCACATTTTTTCCATCTGGACTTCGACTGTCTGGGTCGAATAGAGCTCAAGAACAATGGAATTAAATGGACATCAGCCATGAGCCTGTTTTCTTTTTTTCCTCCTTGAAATACCAGAAAGTTCCACATGTCCATCTCTTCTGGCCAAAGTTTTGAGGGTCAGACAGAGAAAGAAAATACCATAAGCTATGGGAAGAGAGGAAGGAAGGAAGCAGAGAGCACAAAAAGGGAGGAGGAGATGGAAAGAGAAGAAAGGAAGAAAAGGTTGGGCAGTTTGTCCACGTCTGTGCAGCGCAGACTGTTGATAATGGGACTGAGGTTGATGGCAGGCCGACAGCTCTTCTCATGGAACAGCTGAAATGTGGTTTAACCACTTGCTGGCTTTCTCATGCTGCCATTCAAGATCACCTCGAATGATCTTTTTGTCATAGCAATGCCTCTGACCTTTTCTCTGCTTCTGCTTGAAGAAATTATATCGATTATCATTCTTAAAGAAAGGGTCTTGGGTGTACTCATAGTTAAAAACCTCCCATAGGGACACAGATGGGAGTGTGGACGGCCCTGTCCTGGCAAGACTGATTGGGTGAAAGTGATGAAACATGAAAGACTTTGCTCTGAAACAGTTTTTTGGCTGTATTGTTGCATATTTTCAGGCACACGTTTTCTCACTCCCCTGATAAACCACATATTTGACCACCAACTCTCTACACCACAGCTGAAAAACAGGAATCTCAGGACAGTTTGGATGAGAGCGACTCCATCAAAAACTGGAATAGTCCGTCCACTGAATTTGCAAAAACTTGTGTTCGTATGACAACATTTTTAATATGATCCACATGCACACAGGCTTGGTAAAAACCACTGAAAATGCTGCAGTTTGCATGCCAGGCCAGTAGTTGGCTGTATAAGTTTGTAATGAAACACGAGTGCCTGTGCATAAAGCTTTGGCAGAATGGATGACAATGGCGAATCACAAATCTACATTTTGCAGAAAAGGGGTTGAATAGAGTCAAGAGCACAAGACAATTCAAGTTCACCATTGTTGTTGTTATCCCCTAACTCGTGCACGACCATTTGACTCAAAAACTTGATACACATTAGCAGACATGGCATTCTATGTCCCCTCAGGTGTCTAATCTTGTAAAGACATGAATGCCCAACAATATGACTTCAAAAAAATCAGTTCAATCAGCCCCTTACAGTCCAGGATTCTAGTGTCATTATCCATCATGCTAATGCTTGTCTGTGCATACTTTGTGGAGGGCTGCTAATATTCATTTTCTAATGGGTTAAGAGGGCCACACGTGTTCCTAACGTCCTGTGGCCTTGTAAATACCTTCCAGTGATTCATTGCTGGCAGACGCTCTGCAGAGTTAGACACAGGTTGGGGGAGGTAACAGACACGGGTGAACGGTTGGATGGGAGTTGGTGTCTGCTCCACATTGGTCCCTTTACTTCAATGTGATTTCATTAAAACCCAGACAACATAGGGTGTAATACTCATGCCTATTTCTTTCAGTGTTACGAAACTTTCAGTTGATATGGTAATCATCCTACGACTATCTCAGCGATTCCCCGAGTCTGAACTTTTCATTGAAAGGCGCTGACAAAGAAAAGAAAGTGACAAAGCAAAGGAGGGAACATTACTTTACTCCCTCATGCGAGCTCTCGGCTTCCTGTCTGGGAATCATTAGTAATGCTGGGGCCAGACTTAGGGGAAAGTGTTGGGAGGGAGGAGAGATGGGAAGCAATGAGACAAAAGAGGAACGCAGGAGGGGTGACAAGGATGCCGGTCCCGCCACAGGAAATGTCAACCCTCCTCCCTTTTTTCTCATTCGGACTCAAAGTGATGGATCACGAGTTTTATGATAGAAATGGTTGGAGTACCATTTATCCTTCACTGGGATGGGTAAATGGAAAATACAGGCTAAACTTTGTCACAGCTGCTTGTGTTTTTCTTTCTGATTGATTTACCTTTCTATACCTACCATAGCTCTATATCTCATGCTTCAACAAGCATCTGCTAACCATACGAAGCACTTCAGAGCTCTTTTGAGGCCTGTGATTCATCATTGGTCCTTATGGAAATGCATTCTCCTCCTGGTCCAGACTTTTAAATGTGTAAAGTATGGGTGCAGCCTCAGTGGTTTCTGAGGTGGAGTTTTGAAGCTCAGCGGTGGTCGCCATGTTGGAAATGCTGACTCAGCCAAGCATTTGGTCAATCTAGCAAGAAGCAAAATGGCAGAGTTGAGGTGGGCATATAGCCTACACCTTTAGCCACCTGGTTAACATCTACTATGTGCCCATCTGTTAGCCAAGCCAGTCATCCTCTAATAATGCCTAATTATGCAAAACTCGTTGCCTTAGCATCTTTGGAGCAAATAAGTTCTTAAAAATTCTCCCTCTACTCAGTATTTGGGAGAAAATAAAGAAGTTGCCTGCCCAAGATTTTTTTTTCTACCAGGCAATAAAAATACTGTTAAAGTGGGAGCTTCAACATTATTATTTACCGTGTCTCCTTAACTTTTGGGGCCATCCTCCAGTGGACACTTAAGGTACTGCAGTTTTTGGCACTTAATTTTGGGCTCCTTCTTTTTCTATTTTGGGGGGTTATGTGCCTTTTTTTTGAAAGGACAGTGGATAGAGTTGGACACTAGGGTTTGACATGAGGCAAAGGGCCACAGGTCCAAACCAAACCCAGGCCACCCACATCGAGAACAATAGCTTTTGTAGATGAAGCTTAACCACTGAGCTAAACTGGCGGAGGTTGCAGCTTGGTCCAGACTAAGACATGCTTTGACATGTTCTTTGCTCCAGATTTCTCACAAAGTGTCCATGAGAGTTGCATTTTGCATTTGTTGGAAGTTTATTTGACAAAGACAATCATTCTTGCACACTTCTCAAAATTCTCTCTGGATGAAACATTGTTGAATACCAAATTATGCCAAATTAGTCAGTCTAATTCTTGCAGATAAAGCCTGTCCCATTTTCCGTCTTGTAAACTGGCATATGGCCATAACTCAATGTGATACTGGCCATACTTCTGGATCAGGCAACATTAAACAGATGAACTGTAAGGAGAGCCTTGAAGACGAGACCCAATCTGTAACATCACATGGAGACACCGTTTTTTAAGGCATTTCATATAAAGTTTATTTAGAATCAGGTCATGTTGCCAAAGCTGCAGGGCAACAAACCTGACTTGTAATACTCCTTTAAAGAATGATGTGAGGGTGAAAGTTTTTCTAGTAAGTCTGGATCTTCAACCAGGAGATAAAAAAAAATGCTGATGTAGAGTTTGCATGGTCAAGTCATGTTCCAGCACGCTCTGTTGACAGCCCTCTGGGTTTACCATGCACACACACACACACACACACACACAAACACACACACACACACACACACACACACACACACACACACACAAACACACACACACACACACACACACACACTAGTCTGTGCTGTGTGTTAAGTGGATTCTTATGTGTCTGTATAAAGGTGAAAGGAGGTTCTTCCTCAAGTAGGCCATCCTGTGGACACATCTGAAGGCCCCTCATCCACTTATGTGCATGCTTTTGAAAATGTGAGGGTATTTTTCTGCATGTGAACCTCCCAATCAGACACAAGCAGAGTTTTATGTCACAGAAAATGGAGGTTTTTGAAAAAGGTGAAGTATTTTGAAAATGCTACTTAGTTGTGGATGGGAAAATGAAAAAAATTGGGAGACCTTGACCTGAAAGAACAAGTGTATCACACTTAAAAGTTTTTAATCCACACTATTTCCAAAAGCCGCTCTATATACGTGCATGATGTTCGTCCCCGGTGGTTAGACATGACATTTTCAATACGCTTAATCACTACAGACTGGTGTGCTTTTGTCAACAGTTTTTCTTTTGTTTTAGGTGAAAGATTCAAAAACCCACCAATGTGGACATTTTTTTTTCTATTTTTAACTAAAGGGGAAAAAATCAGCCTTAAAAGTAATCTGTGTCTGTATGGATGTTGCTCGAGTTAACTGATTTAAAAAATCAGTGCCTGGGGAGCAGCGTGTAATCTCATGCATCTCCTTGGGACCTCCATCCCGCTTTGAGAGCTGCAAAAAGCTTGACTTCTGACATGTCTAAGTGCATTAGTCTTGGGTTGACTGTGGAATGACCCTTCAGTTCACAGACAGACCTTCTCAACCGTGTCGCCATTACTTTCCACTCTAAATCTTGAAACATGACAAGATATTTCTTCGACGCTGCGCCTCTAAATCCAAAATATACTGATTTAATTATCCTAATATCACTTATAGAAGCTTCTTCTGCCACAAACTGCAAGCTCATGTCCCAAATGATAATCCCACACAATATCCTCTATTCCATTCCAGGGTTTTACAGTCTTGTTTTCGTGTAATCATCAACGACTCATGGGCCTCATTATGACTCACAAAGTAGCAGTAATTCTTGTCTCGCACTAAAAGTAAAGCCATTAAATTCTGATAGAGCTCAGCCTTAGATCACTCTCTCCTCTTTTTGCTTTGCCCCCGCCTGGCTTGCATTAAAATGTGCCGAAACGTTTACAGGCATAGGTTGATGGATTGATGGCTGGACACATGGAGGGCAGACTGAAACCTTGCACCAGAGCACATGTGTATGTATATCTGTTAATGTGCTTGTGGCCATGGGTCAAAGCATGGAGATAAGGTTCAGCTATCAGCAGGGAGACCTCTGTTATTTTGTGCAGCAGCTTTGTAGATAACTCTGAATGTTCCAGTCTGCATGAAGTGCCAGATGTGAGGAGTTCATGCAGCAGTACAACTATGAAAGGTGATAAATCGACTTTGAGATCATTTCCACTATTGGCAATTGGTGCATCACACCACAAGGCTTGCACAAACCATCCAAGATATCTACAAGCAACTCTTGACCGAAGAGTGCTTTACATCCCAAAATCCAAAAATGACGAAATTGCACTGCTGCCAAGTCTGTAGACAAGGTTTTTGTTGGAGTGAGCTTTCAGCCGAGCTTAGATAAGAGAGTCTGACACGGCCAAGATTACTCATTCTGTCAGGAAGACTGGAACAACATGTCCTCTGGGTATGTTCACAGCTCTTAGTTTCAGCGCCTCCTGTACAGTATGTACTCCATGTTTCCGATTGAGACAATATGGCAGAGTCTGCGTGGAAAACTGCAGCCAGACTTTAAACATTGTGCGACATGATTCCAGGCTCAAAGCGTCGACTTATGAGATCACTCCTTCAGTGTTCTTCAGGTTTTTTCAATTAACAGCAGCAGAACAAGACAACAAAAGGTCATTTAAAGGCACCGTTTTCCCATCCAACGCAGCTCCTTTCTGAATGGAAGCGATTTCAAACTCGGTCATACTGTATGCAAGCACTGTAACCACTGGACTGAAGCCGTACAGTGTGTCAAAGTGGTGGCTGTTTTGTGGACATGCGCTGTAATTACTGTGTCGAGAGTCCCTCAGAGCCATGATCCCTGTGACCTGATGTAACCTGGATTTCTCTACTTCATCACATCTTTCTCCTGCTTTTTCTCATTCTCAAAGATACGGCTCATTACACATGTAAAGCTATACACCTTAAAATCTAGTATCTACACCAAAACAGAAGCATAATGTAGCACATAAACCAGGCCAGAGGTCTAACCAACTGATGGTTTTGGGTCTGTTTCATGATCCTGGTCATAATGTTCAGGTCAAGGTCTGCAGTAGACCAACTTCTCCCAAATCATTTGTTAGCAGCTGTGGCTCAAATCTGCCCTTCAATTATTGTGGCACCAAGAGGGAAGGAGCAACTTTTTTGGCTAAAAACATGACACGCAGATTGCTGGTTTATTCAGACTGTCTGTGTGTGTGTTACAGTATAAAGGGTCAGAGAGTTTGTGTGGATCTCCATACTGTTTAAATTCATGTGCGTGTGTGTGTGTGTGTCAACTGGGTTGTGGTTGCATTTAGAAATAGACAACTGCATGCGGCAGGATTCTCCCAGTGACTCTCGTCCAGTGAAGTGAACTTGTGCATGAGCATCCTCAGCCTGAGTCAACTATACAATGAAGTAATTAAATGACGAACAAATCATGTCTGTGATTCATTACTCTAAATATAAAACAGTTGTAGCCTGCAGTGTATACAGTGGTAGCCATGAAATTTGCCATGTTGCATCCCGTGAGTATTTGAGTAAAGTAAATGCAGATGTTGCAGAAGCAGCTGCCAATAATGTTTTTTCTTGTTGTACAACAAACTAACCGCACAAGTTCACCGGTGAGAGAGAAGATGCTTAAACTAACAAACTGCAAAAGAGCTTAACTGAGCGCTAAAAATCTGTATGGTTGGGAAAAGTTCCAATAAGGTTTAAAGAAAATTGTTAAAATATTTAAGATCAACTGGTGCACAGAGTAAACGTGGAAATTAAAAGAGTCAAAAAGTATACCTGTTGAACTCAGGATACAAAGGATAAACTGTGAGCTGAAAAGCACTTAATAAAATATGTAACTAAGGTAATGTCAGACAGCTTACAGTATTACATTTGCTAGATTGATGAATGAATGTGATAAATTAGCAGCCAGCCCAACAAAAATCAATAATATTAAATGGCTAAAACAGAGGCCGATTCAGTGAGCATAGTTTTCTCTCTTTGAACTGATTGTACACATCAATCAAAAGTCTTTAAAGTTCATAATTTCTGATAAATTCAAACCTTTAGACCTCAGTTTCATTACTTTTGGTATTTGTGTTTTACATGTTATTTTTTCTAAAGCAGGAACCCCCAGGACTAGTTTCTATACTAGGTTCTCACCTTCAACCTTATCCTGACTATTTAAATGGCTTAATTGACTAACCTCACTTAAAGGTTATACCCAAGTGTTTAACCCCTAACCCTCAGTCTTCAACCTCTCACCTTTGACCTTTGCCTTATTGGACATCAATCAAGTCTTCGGTACCGTTTTTCACTCTGCATGCTTCTCTGTCTTTGACTGTATGAACATCACAGAGAATTGGAGACAGGGAAACAGGGATACATGGAGTTTAAAAACTAACTAATCACAGACAGACTGACGGGAAAGTCCACGCCCAAACCTTTGATCTGTGTCCTCTTGTGCTCCAGGCTCCCTGCTAGCGGCACCATGAGGTCAGCCTGTCTCTCTCTACTCCTGGTCACCGCCTGCTGGGCTCTGCCCTTCCGCCAGTCCGGCTTCCTAGACTTCATGATGGAGGATGAGGCGGGATCAGGTGACGAAGTTACCACTGGCCCCTTCCCTCCCATGCCCGATGGACCCAAGTGCCCCTTCAGATGCCAGTGCCACCTGCGTGTTGTCCAGTGCTCTGACCTCGGTAAGAAAAAACATGATTAGTGACAGTACATGATGATGAATGAACTTTTTTAAAGCCACTGTTAGTAGTTTTTTTTTAAATTATTATTAAGAAACAATGTAACTCTGGTATTGATGTCACTTCACGACCAAAATGCTAAATCACAATTTAAATAATCAGCCAAGGTCAATAAACATTCTACCCCAACTATATCCTACAAAAAGTGGCCTTAAAAAAGAAAAAAGTTGTATTTAATAGAAAATCTGTTTGCATTAATTTGCTTTCACAAGAAACACACAATTTGGCAAAAGTCACATCTTTGTGGGTGATGGTAGCCTGTTTTCTAAAAAACACTTTGTAGCTCAAAGAGGGCACTATAATCAACACAGCATGTTAATGCCTTACAGCGCATTTTTAATGTAGACAACAAATAATAGTGTAATGTAGATAAAAAAAATAATAATTAAAAAAAAAAAAGCAAAACACTCACAGGATAGATGTTGGGCGCTTTCCGTCACCGTCATGTTCCAGCTCCGTCGGGAAGCATGTGTTATCAAACACTGAAAATGTGTTTGGATCATAGTAGCAGCATAGTGCAGCCCTGGTCAACTGGCCTCTGTTTACAGAAAACAACATACTCACTACAGACTGCCGTTTCCCTACTGATTTGGATCTTATTCTGTGACTGTTGAGCTACTACTGTGTGTGAACAAGCAACGTGGTTTTAAAGTTTGGATTTTATAGGTTTACTCCTGTTTAGAAAAGTGAACTATGTTCTGCTTTGCTGTGCTGTTACCTTCAGACAGACTTAGCAGCTCAAAGTCCTGTTGGGTCCACATGGATCAGGAAATGGTCATGGGGTTGCTCTGTGTTAATGATAAACCCATAACCTGTTAGTTGTTTCATCTACACGAACTGATAAACATTCGGGAGTCTGCATATGGTTTTATTTTGGAATTTACTGGATGACATTCAACACTTCCATGTGTGAAATCCTGTCTAGGATGATCTTCTCTGAGGAGATTGACGCATGCTCCACCGAAAATAGACTTGGGGTGTATCTTTAGTAGAGCAGCACGTAGCATGTGATGCTGATCAAACACACTTAACATGCATCCTGTTGGTTTGGGGCTTGAATCATACATTAGTACTGCTTTGACATGGCAAATAGCAAATAACTGATCAGGATTTGGGGATCAGATTTTAAGGAGACATGGCCACCCCTGGCCATCCTTCAGATCCACCCCTGGTTGGACAAACTTCTAAAAAAAATCACTCATCTGTTCTTCACCTGGTCCATACATCCAAACTAAACTTGATTTGATTTGATGGATTAGACACAAGTATAGCAGTTTTCCTGCTCACATTCATCTTCCTCCTTTACTTGCCTTCTGGCCTAGATTTAACCAAAGTCACTTTTTATAATCCAGAGCTGAGGTCAGATGGGTGTCTACAGTAGTTAATTGTACTTTCATTGTTTGAATGACAATGTTAGATTTAAAAGCAGAAATAGTCACCAGCTTTACAAGCTCAGCTGTCTCTATCATCCACCCACAGGGTCAGCTGAAGGGTATATTGTTTTAGGCTTTACCGTAAAGTCCCTGGTGAGCATGACAGCACTGCTGATATCTTGAATGCTTACAGATGTTGAGAGTCCTGTTTCACTTCCTGTGATAATTACGGTTTGGCAAATCCTTACCCTGTCTATAGTTTAAACATGATGAAAAGTTATACAGCTTGTCTCTCAATGTAAAGCAACAAGGCTGAAAAACAATCACGGTTGATTTTTTTTACTCAGCAGAGTCACAACAATTTACTCAATTGTCATTCTTGTTGTTTGTTTCGTTCTGTTTGTCTAATCCGATGTAGAACATACACAACAGCTTGAGTCATCTCACAAAATGCGCCGCAGAAAATCCCCTGACCTCATTTATTCTTGTTTATTACATAAAAGTGCTTCGCGGCGCAGTTTGGTTTGATAGCTTCTTGGCTCCAACGTTGTTTGGAAAGAAAAAGGCACGAACTTCACAGAGACACATGAAGGGGAATGAAATAAAAAGTGGAGTGGGCAGACATAACAGGGTCAAACCACATTTGGTTTTGTAAGTTTAAGAGGGGCAAGGTTGCGACGGTGAAATGGAAAAGAGTTTGCAGACCCAGATAGGCAGGTGGCTCGACAGTGAGAGTGAAAGGCTGCTGGAGAGAGTGATGTTCAGGGAAAGGACGGTTCCATTACATCAGTCACTCCTCCAGCCAGGGCCCCAGTCAGCAGCAGGTTTTTACCCAGGAGATGCTGCTTCGTGGCTGGATCAGAACTGTTGGCCTCGAGCCTCCATCTGTTCTCCAGACCTGCTGGCGTACGTACAAACACACACTCACATAGTAGGACACACAAGTTTAAAGCTCATACACACAGACCTGGACAAGAAAGGCTAGTCTGCAAATGTCCTACAATTCTAGCATTTGTAGATGTGAGTTTCCTCCAATTTTTTTTAGTGTGTGGGGGTGACATAAAGGAGCAAAACTTTGATGCAAGGCACAAGCAAGTTGCAATGAAATATACCAAGATAATGAGGGCCTGTGTCCACTAACAGCTTCTTTTGCACCCACAATCCTCGATTTAAGAGTAATTTAGAAGTTGACCAAAGTTGGGTTTTACTTCTCCTGGTGGTGACCCTTAAATCTGTTTAATATTCTATATACTCTATGCTTCAATTTTTTATCGCCCAATGAAATTTTATAAAGAAAATATTATAAAATTCTATAACACTAGAATTAGACTTAAAAATAGGGGTTTGAAAAATGAGTGTGCGAAGTTTCAACTTGGTACAGACCTCCTTCATTGTTGGAGACAAATACTAAAAGTCCTGCTCTTTTCAGACAAATACATTCTATATGAAGACGTGACCTTGACATGTGTGTTAGGGTTCTTAAAGTTGAACAACTGTCAATGCAATGACTGCAGTGACGAGAAGCATGAGTTTTGAATGGAGACTTCCCATGCAAATACTGTTGCTAGTGGACACAGGCCCTAACTTATTTTTGCAGTTACACCACATCTTTTCTTTTGTTCTCTTGAATATTTTCTTTCATAAACAGTGATTGTGTTAGAAATGTGTGTGTTTGACTTGTGTATCACAGAAACACACAACTCCTGAACGGCCTCATGGAAACACGAAGTTGTTCAAATCCCATGGTGCAATCAGGCCATTGCCGATCACCTGAGGCGGTCTTACATTTACTCTGTCATCAGTGCTTGTTAAGGCTGATAACAGGTCCAGTCCAAAGCAATCATGTCTGATATTTTCAATCACTTGGAGTAACTATTGTGACAGTAATAGTAGGAAAAAGTCCCCTTTGTCTTGTTCATTGCGTGCCGAGCGGCTGTTAGTTCAAAAGTGAGACACTGACCTCATATGATTACAGATTTTCCAAAGGGGTTGTAGTGTGCCGTGCCATTTGAATCAATTTTTCACCTTAAGTGCAAAGAATTGAGTTTTGCCTAAAGACTGCAAACCTCAACAGTGAAGTCACAAAACCCCACAAAAATCTTCATTTCATTTTGCACAAAATACTCTCTTGCTGCAAGAAAAAACAGAAAGATTTCAATCTGCAGGAGTCTAAAAATGGAAACTAACAGGTCATTTCTATAAAGTTAGGTTTCCACCAAGAGCTAGATTGAAAAAGCACCCTCCAAACTGAGACAGCAAAGCTCCAAAAAGTCTGACTTTTGGTGTTCAACAATTACAAAAGAATGCGTGTGCTAGTATGGAGACATCCAGCGTGGTGCTGTAATGATGGAGGTGACCACAAACAGCTGTGATGGTTTGTGGGTCATCCACTGCCGAGTTGGAAAAAACTGACAGAGAAGCAAACATAGCTTGAAGTAATGTTTGGGTGGGCTGTGCAGAAGACGTCACTAACTTTCAGGACAAACGTGTACAGGCAAACGTATGCAAAAACAGAGTGGAAGCTGCTCTCTTAAACAGTTTACTCTTTGTCTCTTCCTCTGAATGTAAACTTCAGATTACGAACACCACTAATCCAGAAGAACATGGCTCCCAGCTGTCTTTATTCTGTTTCAGAACACCAGTCCCTCACCACAGAAGCTATTTTCCGTGTCACATCAGCCATGGCGTGGTGTGATAAAGTCCAAGCAAAATGACTTAGCGTTAGCTCAGTGTCCAGGTATGCAGCTGCTATATTCCTCCAAAGGAAATTTGTTTCAAGGTCCATTTCCACTGCGTGTGCTTGGTCGCGCATCAAAAAGTTATTTGGTCCCTTTGGAATGCCACCATGAAAATCGTTCTGCACCCTGTCATTGAGACTCTGTGTAGCATTCAAGGACGTCAACAAAGATGATAGAGTCAAGCCACTGTATAAGCCACTGGGTTCATTTTTACTGTCAATCCAACTTTGATTGGTAGTGATTGTTCTAAAAAGTTTAAATTCTCAGAGAAATACCTTGGTTTTCTTTCGATAAAGGTTTAACAGAAAAAGTTGGCTAATACAGTCAACCAGGTTTGTGTTGGTGAGTTAAGGTAAGATTGAAAACCATTTCATTAGATATTGGTGTATAAACCCTTGAACTCTGGACAGACTTTGAAGTTCATGAAACCAGCCAAGGATAAAAGATGAAAGTTTCATTTATTGAAATTCTTAAAACTGTGTAGACCCAAGTAGAAAAACTCATGTTTTTGGCAGTAAATAAGAAGGGGATGATGTATAGTGAATGGGTGCCTTCTACCTGGACCACTTTACATTGAACATAATTTGAATTTACATTCAAGTGAAGACAAACTGAACATTTCCTGCTGTAGCATGGGTTGCAGGACAGCATCTTTTTCAGATCAAAACTGACCCAGTAGCTTCTCATGCTACCGAGGCGCTAACTGGGTCAGAATCTGAGACAGAATCTAAGGTTCTTGCCTCAGAGTCAATGGGCAGAGGTGAAATAAGTCCAGATACCTTTAATTTGGCATAACTGATGTGATCAAGTTATCCCTAGAATTTCTTTTGCTGTTGAAAGTTAATTTCAGTAATTAGTGTTTTGACCTATCAGATTTAAGTATTCTACATAGATTCTTTCACAGACTATGTGTGTATTTTAACCTCTATTTTTGATCAAATCTGACATAAACTAAAAGAAAACCCATGGAAATATTTAGGTTACCATTTTGAATCCATTTCCTGTTGAGGTTTAAGTGTGGTTAACCTCCCCTCACCACCATACCTCAAACTTACTTTCCCAACATCTGTCATTCTGATGGATTTACACCATGTGTTTGCCTGTTACCCTCACAATTCAACCCTGTCCCCTTCAAATGTCCGTGCCAGGTCTGAAGACAGTCCCTGAGGACATCCCAGACGACACCACTCTGCTGGACCTGCAGAACAACAAGATCACTGAGATCAAAGAGAACGACTTCAAGAACCTGAAAGGACTTCATGTAAGAGACATCCCCCTCCATCTGTGTATTATTATAAATGTTATGTAATGTTTCTTATGTAACCGTAATTCCAACTCTTCTGCAACATAAGCTTTTAGAAAAACTACACAAAACTCTGAGCAGTTACTAAGAAACACACCAGGAAGAACTTTTTTAGTTAATCTGCTCAGTTTGTAATTTTTTCATCTACAGTTTAATAAGGAAGAACTTCACTGCCAAGAAAATTGTGTCCAGATCACTGATAAGCAAATTCTGCCCAAAGCAAAATGTACAACATGGGCTCCTCATAACTTCAAATCAAAAAGAACATCCTCCACCATATATCCCCCTATAGCAGCCTTTTCTATCAACCTTGACGATCAATCTCCACCCACCAGGTGCACGGAAACTATTCACCCGAAGGCCTTACACCTTCACGCCTGCAAAAAAAAACCTGCTTTTTTTTCACGTGCAATAAATACCTCAGTCTGACAGTCTGAGCTGTTTCCACTGTAAGGTAACTGACCTCTCCAGGGAGTGATTCACATACCTCACATTACCATCTGTCTGCTTCCATAAGGGTGGAACCGCAGGAGGGAGATTTTTTCTAAACATGCATCTGCGTGGCCTTAAACTTGGCCCTCCATGTTGACAGAAACAGGCACCTGGTTGGAGCTTCCATCTGCTGAGTTTAAATGCCTTGTTTTTTTGGAATCTCATCTGGAAAGTAAAGATTGTTTAAGCCCGGTGGTGTTTTTGTGGCTGTAAATGCCAAGTTTGAGTGAAAGGAAAAAGGGGGACTGGGGTGTAAAGGTATTTTTTTGAATGAGGATCAGACTCCATGATAATAGAGTTCTAAATATTCTGTAAATTTATAAAAGTATAACCCCTCTTTCAACAAAACTAATTCAGAAACTAAAGCTGATGCCGAAAGGACAAAGACTGCAGTACCAATAGTGGCCACTTGAGGCCAACTCCAAAATAAAGTCACATCCATTGAGGTTCCATACAACCTTACTGATATGACTTCCACCATATTTAAATCAGTTGATTTTTTTCTATTGAAGTCAACCTTTACCTGAGTTTAATGTTGGTAGACGGTACAGCTGTCATGTTATACTGGTATTATATACTGGTATCTAAGATACACAACTTTAAATGAATAGATAAATAATATTGAAAATGTGTTAAAAATGAGAATACGGTAATACCATATGGTCATAGTAACAGTCTGCTATGCTGGTTGCTACATGTCATCAATTTCAGGGGAGATAAAGAAGGAGTAGCAGCTGCTAGCGATCTAGCTGTAGAGATGATTTGGCATTTAAAAACTGTACTTTAGTAATAAATGATGGTGTGTAAGTTACTTGCATTTATCACCAAACTTGTTTAAGGAATTTGTTACCTAATCTTTGACTTGTCTTTCTTCACATTTACCAGTTATTTTGTTTTGTTTTCAAGTTCCCCATAAATGTTGCCGTAAAACCTTTATCATGATATTTAATGGCTGTGATAATCATGAGGTAAATCTGATCTCGTGACAGCTCTAGTGCAGAAAGTAGAAACTGGAAAGAGACATGAAAAAATAACATGACCAGAATACGACAGGTTGGACCTGGAGGGTGTAGAATTGAGCTGCTTGGCCCAACCGGTATACTCAGCCATAATGTCAATCATCATTGAATAGCATAGGAAACAATGCAGCACTGTTGAGGAAAGCCAACGAGTGAATCATCCAAACAATCTATGTTTTTGACACAAAGTTTGTATCATGCTGAATTCCTGTGAGAAATGGTAACAACTACATTTTACCAAGATAGAGATCTTAAAATAATGTCAAACATTTGTTACCGTTCTGCCTGCATCCGTCTTTATAGGCTCTGATCTTAGTGAACAACAAAATCACCACCATTCACGCCAAGGCCCTCAACCCCCTGAGCAAGCTGCAGCGCCTCTACCTGTCCAAGAACATGCTAAAAGACGTACCTGCCAACATGCCCAAGAGTCTGCAGGAGCTGCGCATCCACGAGAACGAGATCGCCAAGATCAAGAAGGCTTCCTTCCAGGGCATGGCCAACGTTATCGTCATGGGTGAGAATATATTGCTGAGTTTAGAGAAGAGTTTGAAAGTTGTTTTTTCATTTAATGGTAATATTACACAGAAGTGGTGAATGGTTCCAATTCAACATGTTGAATAAAACAAATGTTGAGCTGTGGATGAAAACAGTGTGTAAAGTTGATATTTCTGCATTGTAGGCTGAGTTTTAAAGCTATAACATAAGAAAAGCTCCTATCTCTGGGTTACTTTACACATAAAAACTGTATTCATAAGTTACACTTAGCTCAGATAACATTTACTGATCATGGTTTGGCTTGAATTCGTTGCCTGTCAAAGAATTACAGAACTAACTCAAGAATCAATCATGAGTTTTTTTGACTCTCACATGAATGCCAAGGCAAGAGGCAACCAATGCTTTCAATCCAATGGCAAAATCAAGAGTTTACACTGGGACCCCAGGCTGGTTGTATGTTTGCAAACAGTCAATCTGTCCAGTCGTTGTATTTATTGTTACTTTGCCAGTGGTTAATTGTGTGGGAACTTCATTGATTTTGTTTAGAAGGAAAGACACCAGAAGGAAAAGTTCCTTTATGGAATTTTACTGGGACACATTTCACACACAGCCACCGTCTGGAAGTCATCAGTTTGCTCCGCACTTCAGCAGCCCGTTAATGCATGGTTACACGGCATATGTTTTGTTTTATTTCCCACAGAAGAATCACAGACTTTTTTTGTCCTTTCTCCTTCCTTCTTTATCTTGCTTCTCCTGCAACTTTGAAAACTTATGTCAGGCTTGTGAAACTTCCTGTTCCCCCGATTAAATCATGTCATCTGTTGTTGCTCAGTTGAGGCCCAAATTGCAGATTCAATCCTTCAGAATTTAATAGAGTCTGAATTATAATCCATGACAAATCAAGAGATCTGGCATGGACAAGGACTTCATTGCAAACACAAGCTTTTCTCTTGCCCAAGACTTTGTTTACTGATGACTCAGCTCTATGTTCCCGTAACACACCAGGACAGAAATTAACCCAAGATCCATCACTGCTGTATCTTCCTTCCTCATCCGCCCTCCTCATCTTTTTTTCATTATTATCTTTCAGAGCTGGGGTCCAACCCTCTGAAGAGCGCAGGCGTTGAAGCCGGAGCTTTTGCTGACCTGAAGAGGGTCTCTTACATTCGTATTGCAGACACTGGCATCACAGAAATCCCTAAAGGTAAACTTCTCAAACCAATTTTGACATATAAACCTTGATTTAAGGGATTAGACCTAATCCAAGTTTTGCCAAAAACCAAAAACAATCATCTCCTGACTGAAGAATGCATGCTTATAAGTCTCAGTGTGAAAACACACAGAAACTGTTCAATGCAGTAATTCAGAAACAGACAATTTCAGGGTGGACCATGTCTAGCAAAAATGAGACATGTAATAAGGATCTTTTGGATGTAATAGAGCTTAAATTTCATGTTGCAAATTACTAACTATCCATTTCTTTGTAAAAGTAGATTCCTAATTTCAGACATTTAGGTAGATTATGTTGTTTTGTGGGTTTTCAGGTCTGCCCGGCTCTCTGTCTGAGCTCCACCTGGATGGAAACAAGATCACCAAAGTGACGGGTGGCAGCCTCCAAGGCCTGAAGAACCTGGCCAAGTAATGAGATTTAATTATGACGTTTTTAAATGATCACTCGGCAGCAAGTCCATGTAACTGTTCTTTAACAGCAACCCCCCTTTGGGTGCTTCAAATGGAAATTACAGTGCAGTTGTGCATTTAATCCCCCTCAATTTCTCTTATATATAGTGTTCATTTGTTGTTTTACTTGCTCTATAACCATTGATATGATAATCTGATTGCTGCTTCAAACATAAAAGAGACCTAAACTTTTAAACTCGCTGGATAATCAGAAATATTAGCCGATTTTAGCAACAATTAGCACTTAAAACACTCTAAATATTGAATTTTCTTGCTGCTAGTGTGCTAGCAAAATTAGTTAGCCTGTTTTTATTTTTATTTGTAAATGAATGTTATTAAAATCAGTTAATTTAACTTGAGTCACCATCCCTTGGTTAATGAATCAAGTACAACCCTTTTGTCGCTCAGGGAATCAGGTTTTCATTTGTAAGGTAATAGGTGATATGTAGTATTTTCATCTGTTATGTTACTATAACATATAAATGCCACTAATACGTCCCAAAATAACAGAGACCAACTTCTTCTAATAGACAGGAAAATGTCTTTAACTAAACCTTTAAATTGGATGATATAAGCTACAATTAGCAGCTGATACAGTCCGAAAATTGTGTAGCAGAAAAATCCCATACTAAGCAAAATTAAGTTACGATTTTAACACTCCAAGTTAAGTTTTTTTTTTTTTTATTGCTTATAAAATAAATGTTTGTTGTTAGAGTGAGTTATTTCAACTTAGTTTGTCAGTCACACAGCTGTATTAAGTACGCAGACATTAGCTCGTCATTTCTGGCAGGAAGTCACCATTAACTGTCAGTTTATGGATTTGGCTAAATGTTTATTTTACGGCTCATTAAGTCAGGTTGTTTGTTGAATAATTTGTTAGTTATGGTGTTGACGTATTATCTGATTCCACTTAATTAAGAAAATTAAATGCTGCTAACACTTACAACGTAGCGAAGACCTAAACCTTCAAATGGTGAGATAATGTTGGTAATCCAGCTCTCCAGCGTTTGCAACATAACCAACATTAGCTACAAGACGCAACAGTTTTATACACCAATTTTATCACTAGTGCAGCAGAAAAATCCCAGAATACACCAAATAAAGCATATAAACATTTATGAACTGTTAAATGAAGTGAAGTGTGAACTATTGAGAAATAAAAGAAAGTACAAACAGGTCTAGATTTGTTTGATTTCTCCAGTTATATTTGTTCCGTTCTTTTCGATGCTATTAACATGATGTTTCTCCTCATTTCCTAATCATTTTGATGTGCTGAAAAGCAAGTAACACAAACAGAAAATGTCTCACCGACATCATGTTTTTTCTTTGCAGGCTGGGTCTGAGCTACAATGAGATCAGCTCTGTAGAAAACGGCACACTGGCTAATGTTCCCCACCTGCGAGAGCTGCACCTGGATAACAACGCTCTGACTACTGTTCCTTCTGGCCTGTCTGAACACAAATACATCCAGGTACATGCTGTTTTCATCAAGATCAGGGTTATGTAAAATCTTATTGTTGTTCATGCAGGTTTCTATATGGTATCAAAAGGAGGGTGTTTTTGCAGCCTTCACTTCCAGCAGCTGAGCTCTTTTTAGGCATGACAGTTCTTCTACTGTGCGCTCGCCTCTCATTTGCTCTGATCGAAGCCATGCTGGGAGAGTTTACTTTCCCCATTTTTGCATTTGGTTTGTTTAGGTTCGCTCTGCTTGATTACAGATCGGCCATGGGTACTATAACAAAAGGCATATGGATCCATTTAGCTTGTTTACTGGCGAAAGCGTTGGTAGACTGTCGAACAGACTTCAGAAGTAAGTGGGAGTGTTAACAGGCTGTTGCATCAATCCCCTCCCTGTAAAACACTCTTTGAGGTAATTTCCTGTAATTCAGCAGGATTATATTCTCTTCTAATGAACCACAGCATTGCCCACCTGCCAGCCATCTTTTTGCAGTTACCTTGTTGGGAAATCGCTGCCAACTAGCAGTTGAGCACAGTTTGTACTAGCGTGGGGTTCCTCCCAAAACAGACTGGAAGACTGCAGAGGGAGTAACTTGTAGCTAAAAACACAATAGGACTCAACTTCAATGTTGGGTAATTTGAATTTTAAAATTAACACTTCTAAATTTGGGATCATTTCGTGCACAAAGAAAAAAATCCAAATATGAGACTAAAACAATTAAGTTGTCACAATCATAGCAATAAAAAGTGTTTTACTTCTCTAAAGGGTTCCAGTTTTGGATTCATGTAAGGATTGATATACTTAAAAGGGATGTAATGGGCTGCAAAGTGTTTGCATTATTGTGATCTATTTTTAGCTCTTAAGTTTTTTTTAGCAAATAAAATGAACAAAACTTCTCTCCTTCAAGAACAGTTCAATGCTCTGGAATCTGTAATTAGCATCATATAAACTTTCCCAGTGAGTTTTGGGCACTTTTTTCTTCTTCCTGGACTCCTTTTCTCTCCTAAGCTGCATTTCAAGGACTCTCCTGTGCAAAACTCTCTATTATTTTTGTGATTTTTTTTTTATTGCAGATTTAAAGCTATACTTGTTCTTAACCTCTTATTTTGAAGTATGATCATGCAGGAACATCCTGAAGACAAAACAAAGTTTTGGGCGCTCTTGAGCTGTCATTATTCATTTCATGACTTATTATTATCTCCTCGATCTGCTATACTGTATTGCCTTGCACATCCCACTCAGTGACCCAAGCTTGTCATTATTTAAATCCCCTCTCTAGGTGGTCTACCTCCACGCCAACAAGATCTCCTCTGTGGGAACAGGCGACTTCTGTCCTCCTAACCTTAACAGCAAGAAGGCCATGTACTCCGGCATCAGCCTGTTCAGCAACCCCGTGCCTTACTGGGAAATCCAGCCCGTCACCTTCCGCTGCGTCTTTGACCGCTCTGCCATCCAGCTCGGCAACTACAGGAAGAAGTAGAAGAAGAAGTAGAAGAAGAAGAAGAAAAATGAGCGTCCTGTGCGCATCAGCGAGGAAGTGTGTGATTGTAAATGAGTGTGTGAAAGTTTTGTAAGTGTGTGTGTTTGACCGCAGCCCCCCCAAACACTGACCCCGACCAACACTGCCTCCCTACAAACAGCAACATCATTCATCCACATATCACAAAGATAGTGGACATGGACCTCAAACGCCACATATCATACTCATAACTTAGCTTTAAGGTCGGTGCAACAATATTAGCAAACACCAGCGTACTACATTGATGCTCTCACAGCACATCATTCAGAAAAGCAGTGACGTATTTGTATTGCAAACATGTTCTTGCATATATACTGGAAATAGAAAATTAAAATTCAGAGGTGACTCCCCTCCCCTAAAAACGACATCCTCAATCAAGCTCCATTTTAAGTATTCCAAATTCAAGTCTGATCAACTTTCCATTGTGTGAATTTTAAGAGAGCTGGCCTGTAGAGCAGGCAGCAAGGAGGTGAACTTGTGTTTTACAATACCTTTAACAACCGGTATACTAGAATGTACTAGATATTACCTGTGTACTAGGATTAGCATTTAGAGTGTAACAATGCCACGCTGCACTCCCTGAGAGAACTCTGAGTTTCTATTTGTATTGTACTCAATCCAAGTAGAGATAAAGCAACAGTGACTTCTATCACAGTGTGATTTCTTGTGCTTTACTTGTTTAGTGTTCATTTAGTTCTGGGTGTTTTTCTTCACCACATTTTCATCCCTTTGGTCCTCTCCCAATGTATGTTGTTCAATTAAAAAAACAAGGTGAAAATAGCTTCTAAAAATGTAGAATAAACCATATATGTTTTAAACATAAGCCATTCCCAAAGATTTATATGCATGCTTTTTTATTTTTGCTTTGACTTGAATCTGGTGCTTTCTGGAAACTCTTGTTAATGCCTGTATGTATTTCTCTCTCTCTCTCTCTCTCTCTGTTTCCCTGCCTTTTTTCCACTATTAAGAGTCAAGAAAATTGAAGGCTGTATGTGGACTGGCATGCCCACTGCAACCATGTTGGTGTGAATGTTGTATGTATAGACGCTGTACATAAATGCTGTATAAAAAAAACTCTCATTGCTTAAAGGCACAAGCACTTACCATAGCTCAGACTTAATATATCAGCAACAAAGGTGTTCCTCTTTTTTTCGGAGCAGGGGCTCCAGCTAAGGTGTCCTAACAAAATAAAAATACTAATGGAAAAAGTAGCTGTTTTTGGATGAAATGAATAAAACTTGCATTATTATCATTACCATGCATGGAGGTGTGTCCTCCTGGTCACTAGGTGGTGCTGTGGTAACTACAGCACAGATACAAAGACAGCAGAAACTTCCTGACGAACAGGGTCAAGAGGAGGCTCAGGTAACAGGTACTGAGTAACAGATGAGACCATTTTTACCATGTATATACACAACAATCAAAAACTGAATAAAAAATGCTTGTATACTTTTTAAAAAGCTTTGAATAGCTTAAGGGTCTACTTTATTGAAGACAAGAACTTTTTTTAATTTGCCATTTTCAGAGCCAGATGATGACTTTACTCCACATGTTGAGTAAAGTCTTTGAATTTTTTTTTTTTTTTTGAAAATCATACAATATTACCATCTAAATGAAAGTTTCAAATGCTTTTTCAAGTACTCACATATTTTCAGTGTTCGGTGCCAAGTGTGTAAGATAGGACATTTACTCAAAAATCAACAGGGTACAGAGTGAGGTTATTTTTCATTGTGTGAGGGAATTATAAAATTACTTTACTGAATTTACTTAATTTCATACGAGTACTAAGAAATACTAAAACATCATCAGCATATTGTCTGAATTTCTTACAATATTTTCAAAAATGTTCATAAACATTATCAACAAGTGTTCAAAATTGATCCAAAATACTCAAATATCTGTGGCGTATTGAGCATATTTTTAGCATACTTGAACACTAAGAGTTTATGGAGCTCAGTTTTTAGGATACTTAATAAGCTCAAACATCATCAGTGTATAAAAAAAGTACTTTTTAGAAGCCATGCTTTCAACATTAATTACAAGTTTCATGTCTTCTAACTCATACAATATATTTTCATTTATTTAATTGTTGATTTGACAGGGATACATCCATGAGACATTGCTTTATCATGTGTACAAAGAAGATGCCATGCATACAGATTCTTATCATGGCTAATTTGTAACCCGTGTTCCTGGTTGGGCTTCCAGAGATAAAAACAGAAATTAAAGAGTATTGAGAAAAAAATACTCCAACCATTAAAAACATACAATAAGATTAGTTTGTGCAATAAAATGAAGGATTTCAACAAAGACATGGATGTTGATATATCATCCATTCATACTTCGCTCTTATCAAATGTATTTGGGCCTGTTTTTCTTCACTGGACCAGTGTAAATAAAAATTAATAGATAAAAGAAATAAAAAGGGTGCCATTTAAAAAGGTTCAAAAACTAAGGTTTGTGATGTTAAGGTCCAACATTCATCTGCATTTCAAGAAAACATGTCTCTCAACTCCTTGAGCTTTAAAGTAACATTGTAAAGTCAATGCAGGGTATAGTGCCCTCTTATAAACTAACATATTGCAATTTACACTGATGAAAATGTATGTTTACTAGTTAACTTCATAACATTGGTCTGTGCAGAACTTCCTTTCATATAGGAATTTTGTCATTTTAAAAAGAGTTTAACGGTGTTTGTTCAAAGTGCAATTTCAACTCTATTTATCTCCTTCTGTGTGCAGGCCTCATAGGGCTGGGACTATTCCCAGCATATATTGGCAAAGAGTCAGAGCAACACTCCATCAGTGGTGGCATTGTATACATTTACAGGACATATATGCTGCTGTATACACAAATAGATGAACAACACATTCAATTTAGTGCCTGCAGTTAACCGTGACTTTGGTTTGTGGGAGAAAACTTTAGCTCCCTGGGAAAATTATACTGATACAGGATGAATGTGCAAACCTCACATGGGCCAGCAGATTTGTCAATGATGTATTTTTGCGATGTGAGTCAGTGAGCTATCATGTCAACACATCCAGGAGAGAATCAGTTCATTGGAGGGTGTAAGGAAAGTTAAAAGATTGCACTTATGGTGGATGAATTCACGTCCCCTGCAGCATCGGCTTTATTGATGGGTTTTGTGGGTTAAGGTGAAACACAATATTTACACAAGGACCATTTCTGGCCTCATAGCCACAGCTGATTTATGATCCCTAAGCCTTTTAAGACACTGAAATGAGAATATTTAGGTTAAAGAAAAGAGAGATGGAACTCCCTTGAGACTTGAGGCTCTTTTTAGATGAAGGTTGTTCAGTCTGCAGTGATCAGTGCTTGTAAGACTCTGACTTGCTCTGTTTCTGCATCAATAACCCAATTTTTTACTAGATTTCCTCACATTGACATTCTTCAGGTAAAAAAAAAGTGTACATCTTGTCTCTTGATGACACACAACAAGAAAACAGATAAAAGTAAGTATTTTTCATTTTTACTATTTTTGTTTTTACAGGCAGAATGCCAGGATAACAGTGTCAGCGTTTTGCTCTAGTTCTGGTTTTAATTTTTTCAGATTAACTTTAGTTTTCACTTTGAAAGAAAATTCACCTAATGCACATTTAAAGGAAAAAAGTAGTAAACGTAATAAAAGCGCAAAACATAAAAAATTGAAATCTGATCATTTTAAAGCTCCTTTGAGGGATTTTCAGTTTGTCACAGTCGCTTTAATGACTCTACATAAATGGACTCTCAGTGACAGAAATGCAACAACACAAAACAGCTATCCCCTCCTCTAGATAAACAGCTCTCTTTATTTTAAGTAAGTGTTAACTCTGGGAAGTTAAATTACAAATAATACAAACCTTCTTCCCAAAAAAACAGCTTTAAAAAGCACAACTTTGAGGGTTATGACTGGCTCAAAATCATCCACCTCTGATATGATTCGGGTGTTGGGTTTTCCTTTTTTTCAGACAAGGACAGACTGAAAAGCATCAGTGTTTGAAAGCTGGCACTTATCCCAGCGCCTCGGAGTCGGTTCAGCTCTGCAGCATGAATGCACTTCAATCTGTTGCCCCCATGTGGTGCTTGTTAGTACAGCATTTTCTGTTCTCTGCCTTTCTCTTCCCAGTGCAGAGACACATGCATGAGCCTAGTGCAACTTGATCTCCTGAACATACGTCTGTCCTAAAGAACATAAGCACTTAGACTTATTGCTTTAGGCTTGTTGCCAGGAGTCATGTGTGGTGGTGCATGTGCATTGAAGTGTATGTCTCTGCGCGGTTATAAATAATGTGAAGGGGGAAAGAGGCTTCAGCAGGAACAGTCAGGGTAAATCAATTGTGCAACAATCTCCACAAAAGCATAATTTGGAGTGAATTTGCTCTGTGTGTTTTCACATGCACATGTAAGTCTGTGCAGAGGTGAAGTGTCTGCTGTGTGGCACTTATGCAATCGGAGTAACCTGACCTGCTTCACCATGGCCAAAGGAAGGACTAAAAAGCAGATGTGCCATAGATTTGTGTATGATTGCTTTAACCCGTACAAATCAAGATGTAGACTTTTTTGCTTCCAGATTCCTTATTCAAACTGTCAGCATCACAGCAGTTTGTTAAGCCCTGTAATTATCATGTAAACGATACTTAAGCCTCCAAATTACAGTATATCCTGTAGTCCTAAGATTGTGAGAAAACTCTGAGCTGTTTTTTCTGATATGTGTTAAGTGACTTAAAAAGATGAACAGAGGTTTGTTTTGATAAGTAGATTTCTCCCTGCTTTACTCCTGCCCTGCACATGTGAGCACATGAGAGACAAGGTGAGAGAATCGGCTGGACTGCCAGATGAAGAAGCCCTCTGTGTTAAGCGCAGCGCTTAAAACACATGGCCACATGGTAGGAACAGAAGGTGGTGTCTGGGCGCTGTCTGAGATTTTATTAGAAGCCTCCGTGTGTGCATGTGCCAAGAGGTCCAAGAATAGCCCTGTTTGCTAATATGCTTGCTTGGATCTCCATCTGTGTACCATTTGATGGAGCATGTGCATGTTTATCTCAGTTGTAAAAGTTTCTGCGCTCATGTCATGTGCTCACATTTGTGTGTCTATTGATGTAAGTGTGTGGTGTCAGCGAGGAAGGAGGAAAGAGGATGCTGGGTTTTATTTGTTACATTTTATGGGTTTTGAAAAGTGGCTAAATCATGTGCTGATTCACTAGTACCGCAAGCCAATCAATCAGTTTTATTTTTTGCCCCACTTTACATTAGCTCTAGATCTACAGAGACCCAATTCATCTACCTGTAAGCACGTACTTGGCCGTAGCTGTAAGTAAAAACTTTTATTTTAAAGGCAGAACCCTCACAGAGAACCAGATTTATCGGCGGACAGATGGTAAATCTGGAAGAAAAAAAACCTGAGTGTTCACTGCATGTCTCTACTTGACCTTATGAGGTAACGGTTAACAAAGATATGATTTATTGTCAGTTTGGGCTAAAATAAAAAGCTATATCTCTTTACAGCCTAAACAAAACCATCAAAATGATTGGTGTATTAACCCCAGACTGCTGCCAGTCCTCTTTGATCTTACATTCATGGATGAAAGGCTCTTATGATTCTAACATTCCTCTGTTCGCTACCTGAAATGTAGCTAACCTGATAAATCCTTATTATCTTACAGCTTACATATTAGTGATCAGCTAAACAGAGTGTTTATTCAAAACCTTGTTAATCAGAGTCTTTTCAAGTTTTAAAGAAATCTTGAATGACTCATTAATTGTGACTGATTTCTAACAACAGGTTATGTATGCTAGCTGATGGTGGGCCTACTGCTCGACAACATTACCATCAAAAGCAAGATGTGTATGCCTCTCTTGATACTATTCGGACTTGCTAACACCACCATAAGCTATTTCCAAGTTTACAACATATTTGATGACTAAATAACTACTTAGTGCTCAGCATAGACTGTATACAGTATACTATGGACAACTTGGCTCCACCTTCCGTCATTATATGAATTTGAAGCTAAAATGCTCTCTGTATTTACGGGATTTTCTCCACTTCCTGGAACCACCACTTGTGCTGTAGCATTGTACGCATTCGGCGGGTGAGTCGCTGTGATGACGCTCTGCTCAAACAGCGTATCTGCCAGGTGAGCTACACAATCATTGTACGCCCATAGGCTGTAACAAGTGTCAATCATAGAAAACATGAGCTGCACAGAAAAGAAGAGGACTTGAGCACAAACCAGTCTTACAGTTGCTACATGTCAATATCGCAGTCAGGAGGGACAAAAATTGTAATTAATTTCTAAAGTTTGTCCACAGCTCTATTAAGTTTGCTGGAGGAGGCGGGATTTATGACCTATACCGCAGCCCGTCACTAGAGGGTGCTGTTCTCGCAGAGGCTTCACCTAGCGAGGCGTCAGATAACATTCATTCTTTATACAATCTATGCAGTCTATGGTGCCAAGTCATGAATGC